ATATATGTCTATTTTTGTGTGAACGTAGCACACGCGTGTACTTTTGATGAGGCTTGCATCCTGGTTTATCTTGCATGGCCAGCAGGAAGTTGACGACACCTCTGTGGGGTAAGAGAACGCCTTTGGGCTTTCCGGTTGAACCACTTGTGTAGATACCGTCTGGATATACACAACACGCAAAGAACACACAAGAACACATGAATATGATGGTCTTGAAACATCCGAGCTCGCATACGGGACAGTAGTTGGTGTGTATAACAAGTGGAATGAAAGCTGTTCGGTAGTCTCTGGCTTAGGAACCCCGAGAGAATTGCGAGTGTCAATGGGGAAAGTTCGGTACATACATGCGAGGTGTCTCGACGCCACCTCTGACTTATGATACTCCTCATCGAATTCGTGCAGCAGATCTCTGCCCCATTCAGAGGTCCCAACCCTAATCAACAGGATGTACAGAACAGAAGAAGGAATATGTAGATACGTTGGGTATAAGGGCGACTACAATACCTCAACTATACAGCACGAATGTATAGCCATGAACTAGTGTGTGATACCGAATGGTGGGGATACGACGGGTTGAATCGGTATATCGATAGCAGCACACGTCAAATGAACGCTAGCCACGGCAAAAGCGCACGCACATGCATCGTCCACGGATACACTCACCACACTACTATCACACCACCATAACACTGCTATCACACTACCATCACTAGCATAACACAATCAATAGCATACACTACTATCACACCACCATAACACTACTATCACACCAGCATAACACTGCTATCACACTACCATCACTAGCATAACACAATCACCAGCATAACACTACTATCACACTACCATCACTAGCATAACACTACTATCACACCACCATAACACTACTATCACACAATCATCACTAGCAAAACACTACTATCATCACTAGCATAAACTACTATCACGCTACCATCACTAGCTCAACACTACTATCACACTATCATCACTAGCATAACACTACTATCATACTACCATCACTAGCATAACACTACTATCACACTACCATCACTAGCATAACACTACTATCACACTACCATCACTAGCATAACATAACTATCACACTACCATCACTAGCACAACACTACTATCATACCACCATAACACTACCAACAGCATAACACTACCATCACTAGCATAACACTGTAACACACACCCACGTATGCATAAACACACTCTACATGTGCACATGCACACATTATCCATACGTACATGGCATCTTTAACGACCCTTTCTGGGTCGATGAATTGGTGTGCTTCGATCTTCTCCAAGGCGTATCGTCTGTGCTTGATGGTGGTTGTACGTACCTCTTCCACCCATTGACCCTGCAAGCTGTGGTCATAGAGAGTTCTGTTACATTCTCACTTTGTCATTATGAGGTTAAGGGTTTTAGTGTTTTGTAAAATAAAAACCTTGGCTGTGGCCGGAGGTGTACACTACGTACGCTGCATAGATACAGTGGATGGCCGTCTGTGGTTTTTTCCAAGTATTTTACAAAACATAAATCGATGTTTTAGATATGTGGTGAATGTCGTGTCGGTTCACCCTTCAATGACACCCAACGAGTAGTTGTTTCTGTACAATAAGACTAAACGAATTCGGCTTTGCATCCTTTGAGCTACAACTGCTACTATAACCCTGACATCTCTACTGATGTAGTGTGATGCACATAATGGTTTAAGCTTTAACCACCTAAAAACGTAAACTTACACCTAGGTTGCCGACATTCAATTAGCGCATACGCGGCAGATGTGATGTATATACATAACAAAAACTTTGTACACGGTACATTTTTTTTGCCTACATGTTAACAAATAGGAGTGTCTATAGCCATCTGTGGTTTGCACTTGCACGTACGAACATGTGATCAAATACTCTCTTAGTCGACTCGTAATACATCCATCCATCGATGGGTGTAGTGGCATTGTAAATACAATTCCGTTGCAGCCCCCAAGCACAATCATCCCGATTGACAGCTTTGACTACGCCTGCAATCCATGCATGCAGTACACACACCTGTTGTATGGTGTTGGTAGTATCTATGTATATACCTGATAGTCGTATGACACACACCTCTCATGGTTGTTCACCTCAGTCTCACGTGTGGACATGAGATTGAGCACCTCATCAATGAATGGGATCAGGGCCTTCTCTGTCACCACCTGTCTGTAGCGCACGGGGTGAGGAGTGAAATGCAAGTACCCCGTTTATACGAAAAACAATAGGAAAAATAAGGAGAGAGTCGGCCAATGATGCAGATGTGCAGAAATACGGCAAATGCAAGATGCCCAAAGCATGTAAGATATATAGTACAATTGGCAACCAAACGTGGTAGACCGAGTGGAAAAGATAGAATAATTGTATCCAGTTCACCTGAATATAGGAGCACATATGTGACATCTGTGATCATAAACGCGTTTGGAATAGCAATAGCTATAGTTGCGGGCGTGTCGATCAATTATACGCACATATACACCTGTATACGTTTTATTATTATCCGTATACCTGATCATAAGTCAACTTTACAAACATGTACATAAGGGTACGTACTTGATTCCAGCTTCTTCGATTACATAGGCCAATCTCTCCGGTGGGAACTTCGGATCGAGCGCTACATACGCCGCACCAGACTTCATAATACCCAGCATACTGGCCAGTAAAGTAGTATTCCGCATCAAACACACACCTGTGCAACGCCGTAACATTAATATGTGTATCAGTAAATGTCATACCGTGTGAGACATAGAAGATCAAACACCTATGCCTAGCCATATGCAGGAGAACAATTGAAGCGCAACCAAGTACAGGCAAGGAAGACAGTCGAGGTATCGTAGATAATATAATCCACACACACACACACGATATATATATATATATATATATGCGCGTTTGTGTGTGCGTCTATCTCTATTTGATAGTACATCACATTTACACATACGTTCTTATGTTTGTATATCATGACCTTACGTACACATAAGGTAGGTGTAGCCTGACTGCTAAATTGCAGTTACTACCCAACAAGAACAGAAATCGAACCGACAATGCGCAAAGAAATAAGCGTTAAAATAAACTCAATAATACCAATCAGATCGTCCGGTTTGGCCCCCAGGTTTCGCACATAATTCGCAATCCGGTTGCTAGCTATATCAAGCTGTAAGTGGGAATTGCCAGATATTAGAATTTATAGATGAAAATTATCGAATAGAGACTTTGGCATCATTGAAATATTACATGGATGTATTGACAAATAGATATCAAAAATCAATCGTTTTTGTATTCTGTGCCACCACGCGCAGTCAAAGACCAAGCCTATCAATAACAACTCATAGAAGATAGAATAGCAGAAGAAATGTAGAGAATAGAAGAAACTGTCATTGTATGTTGCGTGTGCAAAAATGTACTCAAATAGCC